CGAACGAGGCAAATAGCCTACGGTTTGGAAGATGACCTCATGACAGCGGCAGATCGTCTGGTAGTAGAAAGGGACAAGGGTAAAGAGAGATGGGATAAGAACGTGCGAATTAGGAAAGAGAGGGTGAACGTAGGAGATATGGTCCTTCTCTACGATGCAGCGCTGGAAAGAACCTGGACCGGAAAACTCGCCAACAGATGGATGGGACCTTACAGAGTGGTTGAGACACTCGACGGGGGTGCATATATGATAGCAGAATTGGATGGATCTAAGTGGAAGGACCCAGTGGCGGGCGCTAGGTTAAAGCTGTTTAGGCCCAGGCCCACGCCCGCTTTATCGCTAACCAGCCCAAAAGGGAAAGGGAAAGCCATGGTGGAGGATGAAGCCCCCTTGAGGCAATTCGAGGCAGGGGAGAGTTCCAAGAAAAGGAAAAGAATAGAGAAGAGAAAGGTCAAAGGGTTAGCTTTAGGAAGAAAGAAGAGATGGTTATTCGTGCTCAAGCGAGCTAGACGGAGAGTTCGGGTTAGACGAACTGGCGGGTCGACACCCTTCTCGGGGCAAAGACAGAAGAAAAAGAGGATCGTGTCGGGGCCAAAACCCAGAAGGAACAGGAGAGTCAAGAAGCATCTTCTTAGCCCCAGGACTCATAACAAACTGAAACATGAGACAATTGAACGCCGACGTGGGCGACCTTTACGGGCCATCCTCCTGAAACTCATCCGCTTCGTCTGACGTAAGTTGCCAGGGCTCGACGGGGGCGTCGAAAAGTGGTCCGGGCTAACTGTCAGGCGGCCACAAGCAGTGCGCCGCCTGAAATCTACGGTCTAGGGACTTAGGCTCAAAGACAAGTCTGTGCAATGACGGTAGTCTGGTTTGACCATGCAGCAAAAATTAGGGGCACCCCGAGTACCCCTAAGATTAGATATGACAACCGTTGAGACTAACTCTCGAAATTGATAAGAAGGACTTCCTTACCGCAGCGGCGTCTATCTCAATACCGGCGACTTTAGCCTGTTTCCGGGACGGCCGCCTGCTGAACAGCAAGATGGAGATGGGCTTGGGCRTGGTTCTTTTACGCTCCACAACTGACGCAGAAGTGGGGCCTCGAATATCATCAATTTTGGTATCAAAATTTAAAAAAAAAAGAACATGAATTAAAAATAAAACAAGAAAAGAAAAAAAAAATGGAATATTCATTAATTTATTCAAAATCTTTGATGTTTGATTTTTAATGGGACCGCCCTCAATTATTGGACTTTCTGACAATAGAGTGAAAAATAAGAAAGAGGGATCAAAGGCGATAAAAGAAAAAGAAAACAAATAATTTTCGTCATTTAACTGAATTCCATCGGAATTTATTTTTGACAAGATTGCTTTATTTTTGTTATTTTCGATAATGGAACTAAGAAATAAGGAAAATAATTAAAAATAATAAAACGAGAAGGAAACCCATGATTATCTGATAATTAASTAATTTTTACTTGGTTATTCGCGAGGGGTGCGCCACATTGTTCCAATCCGGGTGTTGTGAGTGAGAGTGGGATGGATGYCTGGCGCGAGATTACCACCGGTACTATTTTGCCTGGGCTTCATTGCTTGGGTGTTACCGCTGGGTCGATTCGGGCACGGTACTCTGGTTCGGGACAGGCTCGGTATTWTTACAACGCATTGTTGCAYGGTACGGCACCCGACACCGACCGGTATGATAATAGTGCAGGCGGCGGTAAATCAGAGCGTCTCTTCGGAACCGGCATTGGAACGCTTGCTGGAACGGCACTGGTATGGAACTATTATCACAACGGCATTGGCATGGGCACTAATGGGCACCAGTTGGCTACTTACACGGTTCTGAGACGGCAGGCCATGGCCCGGACCTGCTGGGTTTAGAAATTGGTCACTGGTTTGCCGTTGGAACAGCTACCGCAATGGACCAGGGCGCGATGGCCGGGCCTGGATTGACGAGGGCAAGAAATTTTCTGGGCCTGGAGCATTGGGGGCTGTAGGGACTGCGACGCGGACCGAGTCGAAGCAGGGCAGTTGGCCACAGACAGTGGATATAAGGGAAGTAAACGGGTACCAAGGGGGCGTTTTCGAGGATGCGTGCCAGGCGTACCCAGCATCCCGGAAGTTGCGATAATTTAAAATTTATTCTATTTGACGATATATATAACTTCAAATTTATTTTTTTTTCTAAATTTTGCGATAATTTGCAAAATACCCCCAGAAGGTGAGATATATGCCAAAATGCCCCTAAAAGATGTTGGTAGAGCATAATGCCCCTCTGACCAAAAAAGTATTTTGTGAAATACCCCTAGCGTCGGTTGGACCCCCATCTTTGCAATATACCCCTACGGGGTACCGTCCAACTTTGCAAAATGCCCCAGTACTTGCCAACTTCTCCTAGGTGCTATTGCAGAAGGCCAAGGCCCAAATGGGGAGGTCCAGATTGCAAAGTTGCACGCCCGCCTGACAGGGGCACAACACAAACATTTAGGCCCAAAAGCTAGGCTGCCAGCTGTCCGATGGGGAGACATCTCCCATGGACGTCTCCGGGAGACGGTCAGGGGGGAGTTGTCCGGAAAAGCGGACAACTGCTTTTTTGCCAAAAAAAAAAACAAAATGGGGGGGGGGTTGCGCACCACTAGGGGACCCCCCAAAAACAATTTCAGGCTGTTCCGAGCGAAAACGAAAAAAAAAATCAGATACGGTGGGGGAGGTGTGATGGTGGGGTGTTGGGGGAGGTGGATTGCTTGGGGAGTTGAAATGGAGGGCCTGTGTGCTGCGGCAAACTTTGTGAGGGATGCTGGGCCTGTTTCCCTGCATAATAAAAACAGTACTCTTTTTCAAAAAAAAAAAAAAAAAAAAACTAACAAAGAAAGAAAAGAAAAGGAAGTCTTGAGCATCGTATAGCTTCTTGCGCTGCCAATGTTACGCAAGTGGTCACCATTTCGAGGCCTGACCCCTACAATGGTTCGGTAACCCAGGGGCGGGCAAAATCCAGCATCAACCAATGAGCTTAGCTCAGTTGGTACACCCATGAACTGCTGAACTACCGACCGGAGTTCGAATCCAGATGCAATCAAAATTATTCTGAATTACCTGGGGTGGTCAGTTCAATGATAATATCTCAAGGCTGTTGGCCTTCTAATGAAAAAAGTAAATAAATAATCCAGCATTCGGTGGCGTTCTCCGTAGGCGGAAATCCTATGCCAATGGCGGAAAATCAAACTATCATGGTCAGAAGACGAGGAACAGCGGAAGAAGGCAAGACTGAAGTTCAACAGGTTATGGTTGATAGGAGGAAAAGTTGCTGATATACGAGACGACCGTGTATACTGGAAGGACTGGCACAACTCCAACTCTCGGAACAGTCTTGGACAAGGACCATCGGGGCAAGGGCAAGGCATCTCCGGACGAGAATCTTGAAGGGACAATGGCATTGTGCAAGCCTAGTCAGAAGACAAGGAACAGCATAAGAATGGGAGACGGAGGCTACACAAGAATGGGGTAGTGACAAAGCAGGATGACTGAGAGCGATGAGGACTGTATCTACTGGGAGCATGACTCATTGCCAGAAAGAAGCTTCCTCCGGAGGTCAAAGGCGGTGGCATCAATCATACTCTGGAACACGACACGAAAAGCGTATTTTGGAATGATGAGCATAGC